AAAGAAAAAAAAATTATGCTTATCTGAGCAATTTAAATATTTGTAATTTAATAATATATTTTAATTTTTACAGATTTTAAAAAAATTCAAGAAAATGTAACGTATAGTATAGTAGATTTGGTTTATGACTTGGTTGGTTTTGTTTGGTTTGTTCTTAGGTTTTGGTAGTTATATAGTTGGTCTATTTTAGGTTTATAGTGCCATTAGGAGACATTTTATAGGTTATGATTAAACAATTTTTGAAACCTATCACGAATCACAAGATAGATTTAATAAGGGGGAAAAAGTCTAAATAAACTTATATAGAGCACACCAGATAAGAAAGAAACATTATACGCCCATTTCTTATCGACGCAAACAGTACATATCCTCAATAACGGCAATTTTGTAACAAATATGACTCTGTATATGAGTTTTTAATTAATCTTATTTGAGACAAATACTAGAAACAAGAAGAAAAATTCACAGGTAATATAATTTCTTTGTTGGGTCTGCTTATCCTATTTTGAGAAGTAAAGTAGACATAAGTAATATATAGTGGAACTAGTAATTGGCTTCATTGGATTTTATGTCTGACAAAGCTTGGGAAAATTAATGTTGGTTAAAGTGAGCAAACAATCTTTTACAGGAGGGAATTAATGTTGGTTAAAGCGGTTGGGGTTTTAAGGCCACACGGGCGACACGTGGTTCCTTGGGCTTTAGGTTTCTGTAGCTGGCTTGCGGACCCTAACCATAAATTGATTAGTCTGTGACAACTTATCATGACAGTCGTAGGAGATATTTTTGAACTTAGCAGGACAAATACATTGTTCGTAGTTTGTGAACCACAGAAGCATAGTTTTTGTGAACCAGGGAAGCCAATAGGGATTTGGATCCTCTCTACTACAAAAAAGTAGTGGAGAGACCACTACTTTTAATCTCAAGCGTTGATTATTTAGTAGGCGGTTATGATACAATCTAAATCTAACACTTACCATACTCCCGTGTATTGCACTCATTCCTAATTTGCACTAAAAGAAAAAATCATAACCATCAACTAGATAATCAATGGTTGTGATTATGTAGTGGTCCCTCTACTTTTTTTTTTTTGTAGTGGAGAGGATCCGAATCCAAGCCAATAGTTAAGACTTTATAGTCCATAATTTCAGAGGACCCTACCATTGTCATAAACGAGATTCGTCATATCTCGTCTGACTTATACTCATTTCTACTTTTTATTGTAAATTAAATAATAGATAATTATCATTGAAAGCTAGCTAGCTGAACCTCGTAAATCTTTTTTTTTTTCAACAGGGTTACGGAATGACCGAAGCTGGACCAGTACTTTCCATGTGTCTAGCGTTTGCAAAGGAGCCATTCGATGTGAAGTCAGGCTCGTGTGGAACGGTTGTACGCAATGCTGAGCTCAAAATCGTTGATCCCGACACTGGATTCTCACTCTCAAGGAACCAACCAGGAGAAATTTGCATTAGAGGGCACCAAATCATGAAAGGTAAGGCTCCAACTACCATACCTTGTGGATAAAAGCCAGTGTACGATTATGGATTTTAGTGTTATTGTTAGATTTACTTTTATAGAATTCGGATATTACCATAACAACACACTATCTGGTATTCTAATGATATTAGAGTTTATGGTATTTTATTTGTGACACGATGGAGTAGATTATGTCCTATGGAGTTCCAGTGTCATTATCAATGTTTTTTAAGATCACAAATTTTGCAACTTTAAATGCATAAAAAAGACTGCTTAGGTTTGATCGATCGAGACATCACATCCGGCTACTGATTAATATGATTGGAAATGTATAATAATTGATGAGTTGGCGTGCGCAAGGTTTGATCAAGAACTAGTAATTCCACTTGAATAAAGTTTTTCTTTAAATAAATAAATAAATAAGAAAGCATGATCTCGTCATAGTCGGGAATAGTCAATAGAGGGTGAGTCTGCTGAAGATACCACGCCACCAATCTCACAATCATTTCAAGTTGCAATAGGAAAAAGATAGATGGGGTTGTTGCACCAAACCGCAAGCGTTTGGTGAAAGAAAAAAAAAGAAAGGAAGAAAGGGAAAAAAAAACAAAAAAAAATAGTAAGGTTGAGTAGAGGAAATTTTGTATAGACAATTAATTAGCTAGGTTTGGTGCTCTTGTCCACCAAACCCTTTTCCTCTTTCACAATAGTAAAGTTTCCTTGCAGTAAAAAACAAACAAATAAATATAAAAGGCTTCCCTTTCTCCTCCTTTTCCAATGAGGTCACGGCCTCCACATCTTAGTAAGAGCCCTCCACTTTCCATAGATAAAAGATGTTAGTGTCGTTAAAGTGCCATGGTATTAAACCAAATTTTCTCTGAGGATTGAGGTTATAATTTTATATTGTAACATGCTTTCGTAGTGTTGAGATTGTAATGATAAATAGTTAAACATGGAGTGCTCAGGTATTATATCAAATTAGATTTCTATCATTATATCACAAATCTAAAGTAATGATGAGAACAGATTGTATGTTTCGTGTTCTAATGAGTAGAAAGGCAAAAGAATAAATGATATTCAAATGATTGATCTTCAATAGAGTTATTTAAAAAACAGTTAAATAGTGCTTTTTTTTGGGTGATCTAGCAAATTTGACCCTCTGGTAAATTACTAGTCAAATCCAAATTGCTATAATATTAAAAAAAAATTAGAAGATAGAAAAGAAGAGCTAAAAACGTGTCAAACTCTTCCTTCTATTCTTAACTGACACCTCTTTTGTCTGACGAATCAATGGTCTGAATAATCTCGCTAGCTTTATAGGTCTCAATTGTCTCAACATGGACCATTGCCATTTCTAAGGTTAATCATCACGTTTTTGCTTAAAACGTGATTCACGTGGGTCCATGGATTTTTAACCTGAGAAGGGTTCCTTTTATAGCTAGCAATAGCAACTACTGAGTTGTAGGAGCACCATAAACGCACTCGACCACCTATTTTAGTGGCTATACGTCACTGCTTAGTCAATGCTCTCAGAACGTATGTGCTACATTACTCGACGTACGTTGGGCTTTATGCACCAAGCATTCAACTAGCGTGGAGCCACTGTATTATATGGGTTTTTGTCAGAAAATTTAATATTCCTTCAACATTTAATTCTTGTGGGACAATCGTAAACTTAATGGCAAGAAAGAGCTTTCAAGTTGTAAACTTAATTGTAATTATCAACAAGTTGTTGCAAGAAGTTAAGGGGTTGTTTGGAAAGAGGTTTTTTAGGGGGAAAGGGCTGGAAAGCCTGCCAAAACTCTGCCAAAAGTGCAACTTTTGGCAGGCTTTCTCTCTACCCAAATCGCAAACAAACAACCACTAACTTGTGTTGGAATGTAATAAATGCTTAGATAGAGGAATGGATTTCTATAAAAACTAGCACTCGTGTCACTAACCATGTAACATGGAAATCATGTTAGGATAGTTGGTAACTCTATTTTCTGACAACCAAACAATTGCAGAGATAGGTTGCAAGAAATATTTGTTTATTTTATATCTATGGGAATTGCAATTCATGAAAGTGCATTCTCCCAATTCCGTTGCGGAGACCCTGCAATGCAATTTTTTAGGTTCAAAAGTGTAATCACCGCTAGCAACTTTTAATTTTTAGGTGTCGAAAATATGTTGTGCACAATATTACTCCCCACTATCACGATCTTTTTGAGTGCGATGTATTCTCATCAACACCTTTTACATGAGCCATGTTATCCAAATACCCTAATCATGATAACCAACTAATTAAACAATTAACTGATTTTATTTAATTTTCCTTAATCCAGGATATCTTAATGACCCGGAATCAACTGAACGGACCATCGACAAAGAAGGGTGGCTGCACACCGGAGACATTGGGTACGTGGACGACGATGATGAAATATTCATCGTCGATCGGCTCAAGGAGCTCATCAAGTACAAAGGGTTTCAAGTTGCTCCGGCCGAGTTAGAGGCCATGCTCATTACTCACCCTAACATTGCCGATGCTGCTGTTGTCCCGTAAGTATAAATGATTTTATTAGTTTTACGTTATGTTTTCAATTTCTACTTTTCTAATTAATAAAACTTTTGAGCATGTTGTTATGATTACTGATTGGACTTGTTGATAAATTTCAGCATGAAAGATGATCTTGCTGGAGAGATGCCTGTGTCCTTCGTCGTGCGATCTGGTGGGTCTGAAATCACGGAGGATGAGATCAAGCAATTCGTCTCCAAACAGGTAAATAAGATACATCTTTAAAAAAATGCGACTACAGTCCAAACGAACCAAACATCACATAGCCCGTTAAGCGCTTATGTACATAGTAAAAGCCCAGCCCAAATAAGCTAGGCTTCCATGGATAATGTCCCCTAAAATAATTCTTGACCTTTTATAGGTGGTCTTCTACAAGAGGATACACAAGGTATTTTTCGTCGACGCCATTCCGAAAGCGCCATCTGGCAAAATCCTGAGGAAGGACTTGAGAGCAAGGCTAGCCGCTGGATTTCCTAATGGTCAACAGCTGTGATCTCCATCTAAAACCGTCAAAATGCATGAATACACTGTAATTATTGACTACTGTGTGTTGTCCACTTTATTTGTGTACAAGAGTGATGAAGAATAGGGTATTTCCATATTATTTTCTTCCTATAATGCCCTGGAGTGTAAAGAACGGAGTTTTCATGCATCGAAGAATGAGGATTTGTTGAGAAGGGTATTTTGGACCTTCCCTCTATCTGGAATTATGACATACTATGTGTTTGCGAGTCGAAGTATGTAACTGTTACAAAAAATTCACGAGTTTGTGGAATATAATTGTAATATTGATTTTTAAATTTTCAATAAGTCTCATTTTTAGTACTTCGATAGTTCTTATTTCTTTCTTTCTTTCTTTTTTTTTTTTTTTTGGCTAATCTCCTTGTCTGAGAGTTTAGGTTTCAGATACAAGGAGGGCTCTTGCCAAAGGGTATAATTAGAACTCCGCGCAGACTAAGAATAGTTTGGGCTAAAATGTAGTGCTACGGAAAGGAGACCTAATCCAAAATGAAGGCCCAGTAAGCTTGGGCTTTAAGCAGCACATCTTGATCAAACTACATCTACGGTCATATGGATCTAACAGTAAAATGAAAATCTAGGAATTCAAGATCTAAATCATGCTAGAATTCATATCTCGCCACTAACTTCTAATTTAATAATTACTTTAGGTTGCATATTTTTTAAGAAAACTTAAGAGAGATGTGTATTCTATTCTACTCAAAAAAATGTATCACTTAAGAGAGATGTGTATACTATTCTACTCAAAAAAATGTATCTTTTCTCATAAAAATATTTCAATTTCCTAGGTAGTAAACCACTACATGCTAAGATACTTTGCAGAACTTCAAACTTACAAAGTACCCAAAGGTTTCTTTTATGCCATAAAAACAACCCATAAGATGCGATCAAAACTACCGAACAATGCATATGAATAGAAAAAGATTATTGAATGTCTCCTAATGCGGCATAGAAGTAAGAAACATCGGAATCCGTCAAGGGATGCTCTTTAAATCCACAAAGAACAATCATCGAATCCACAAAGAAAATAAAATAAGAGAAATTTTATTCATCAAAAGTTATCTGATAATTTTGGGTTTACATATCTTTTTTTTAAATAGAAAAATAAACTAGACTTCTAATAAGACTAGAATTACAAAGAAATAGAAAGTATCAAATCCTACTCTAAAAAGACTTCTTATAATAAAGGGAAAAAATCACTCAAACATGTATCAAAACTGAATTTGTTTCCTAATCTCAATAGACTCCAACTTTATTACTAAAAATAAACTAAATATTAATTATTTTCAAATTATGCTAAAAACTAGCGATAGTAATGAGATTTTGGAAATCTAATAATCTAGTTAGCTTCATCTCATCGAGATAAGTGATTTACATATATAATATGTTAGAATCCACCTTTCAGATTAGAAGATAGGATCTTTTTTGTGGAAGTCAACAATATGCATGTGTCCATATTTAGCTTGTAATTGTCCAGCTCCTCTATAAAATTGTCTGTTAAGTGTCCTACATCAGTCTTCTCTTGTTGAAACAAGCTCGATCCCGAGCATATATTTTCTTGAGTAGTAGCTTCATTGATAGGCATTTTTCTTCTCCCGCATCGATTAGCATCCGCTTTGTACTTAGCATTAATTTTCTCCATTTGTTGTTTTACCTCGGCTAAAACTTCTTCTTAATCAAACTTTTGAATGAATGCTTCCCATATTATGTCTTTGTGACTAACGGCATGTAAATCCACATATGAGTTGAAAAAGTCCTCAAAATCCTTTTGTTATTGATTTTTATAATCTTGTGCCTAAAGTTTCATCTCAATCTTGTCTAAATTATTATCACTATTCGTTTCAAGAGAAGAATTTCTCTCACACTCCATCTCCTTTGTTCTAGGCCCTCTACTAAGCAAGTTACACATAACATCAATCACCTCGCTCTCAATTCTACCATTCTTCTCCATTGCAATAACATTAGCAAAAAACAATATCACTCATAATATATAGCTTCAGAAATTTCATGTATAATGTCCATCTTCACTAACATATTACTATTAACATCAACAATTAATCTCAGTCACAAAAGGGACTTGCACCTCTGGAGGAATCTCGGTAGGGGTATGTTCTTCTTTCATTGTTACAACCAATACATAACCATCTTCAGATAGCTTCAAGTCTTTTGTGAAAGCTTTATTGTCTACCATCAAAAAAAAATCTTATCAGTAGTCTCTATTGTAGATGGCTCCTTTTCTGTAAGAGGCATGAGTGTAATACGACGTCCATCCTTCTTAAAGATATAAATATTATCTCTGCCCCTATGGATGACACCGATATCAAGTTGTCATAGCTTACCTAAAATCATATGACAAGTATCAATTCCATCTCGACTACATCAGACGACACCTCATCGACCTAGTTGTGGCCGATAGAAAAAAAATACACGACACATCTCATCATTTTGTACATCATTGCCCTTGCAAATCCAGTTGATCTTATGGGGAGGTAGGTGTTTCTCTATCTTCAAACTTAATTTATTCACTATATGCTAAGAGACAAGATTTTCACTGCTGCAGTTGTCAATAATAACATCACAAATCTTCTGCATCATGGTCCATCTCATGTGGAAGATATTGTGCTTTTGAGATGGTTCTTCTTTCTTTGTTTCTTCTTGAATGCTCTTCACAAGTCCATGGTCTTGCTTAGGGACAAATTGGGCTTGCTTAATCTCTGCATTATCATAGTTAGAGTATAAACTCGTGTATTGATTGAGCACATAATAGTATGTTGAAAGAAAATTCCTTCATCTTAGCACATGATCAGATTTGTTGCTTATGCTAGCAGGTTCTATCATCGCATAATGATTGTCGCCATAAAGATTGTCGCCATAAAGATGTTTCGTTCTTAAGTTGATAGGCTACTCGTTTAACCTTCTGATCTTCTAAAAGTTCCAAGTATCAAAAAAATCTTTCCACCTCATCAATCTAATCAAGAAATCGTTTGCACCAAGTTTCCCATTGAAAGTCAGTAAATCAACTCTCATATTTTTAGTATCATACATATCCCATCTTGAGTAGTCTCAACGATCATGATTTTGGCGAGAGGCGTCATTTTTATTGATGTTGCTATTGAATTCTTCTTGCATAGTCCTAGCATGTCTTTGGCGACCATCAACATGATCTCAAACTCATCCTGAGTTCAGATGCTCCATTGCCAACGTAAGTCAGTCTAAATGAGTCTAGTCTAAGTTCAGATAATAGGGACTTCCTTGTCTACAATTGGATTGGAAATAGGGCCCTATTACCAATTAACGCAGTGCGAAAGTAAGAAAACTCGAAATCCACCAAGGGGTGCTCTTTGAATCCATAAAGAATAATCTTTGAATCCATGAAGAAAATAAAATAAAGTGGAATTTTACTGATAAAAAGTTATATCATAATTTTGGAGCTACATGTTTCTTCTAAATTAGAAAATAAGCTAAACTTGCAATAAGACTAGAATTACGAAAAAACATATAAAGTATCAAATTCTACCCTAAAGAGACTCCTTATGATAAAGAAAACAAATTAGTCAAACATGAATCAAAATTGAATTTGTTTCCAAATCTAAGTAGATTCTAACTTTCTTATTAAGAAAAAACTAAATATTAATTATTTTTGGATTTTTACTAAAAATTGGTGATATTGATGAGATTTTAGAAATCTAACAATTAGGTTGGTTTCGTCTCATCGAGATAGGTGATTTATATATATAATATTATCATAATCTGCCTTCCGGATTAGATAATATAAGCGTTTCTTTTGTGAATGTTAATAATATGTATGTATCGGTATTTAGCTTATGATTGTCTCACTCCTCCATGAAATTATCCGTTAAGTGTCCTACCGCATCTCCTTGAGTAGCATGGTTGTCCGTCCCTTGCTCGATGGTCACCGACACCAGCTAGCCCAATAGCATGCTCATCATCACCAAGTCGAGCCCAATAAGTTGCCATCAAAGGATTATTCCCTTCATGTCCTCTCTTACCACGCTAACTATTTTAATTAATGGCAGATGGACACATGGACATTTCGTTTCAAAGGAAGCTTCCTCCAAGTTGTTATTAGAAAGGTAACAATGGTAAGTTGACCCCAAATCTATTTTCATACTCAGTTTAATTAGATTTCTACTTTCTTCCTACGGTCACTGCTGACTAAAGAATCGAAGAGTCATCGATCGGGTGGTTATGCCTCAGTGCCTTCTAACCCTTAATTCAGTGATTTGCAGGAGGGACATCCCCCATCAAGATCACCACTGGTCAAAAGAATCTAGGAAGCCCTTAACAAAGCAATTTCAGCTTCGACCACCACATCTTCAACTATTTTTCTCACCTGGAATAGTTTCTTTCTTTAATTTCTCTAAATAGAACATTTTATTTTATTTCGAACTTTCATCGTTGATAAACATTTCTTTCATTTCTCTAAATAAGATGTTTTCTTTTATTTCAAACTTATTTCACCTATATGATACCATTTTTTCCTTTTTGAATATGCAAACTTTTCTGTATGATTTTACTAAATGAAAAATAAATCTCTTATCTTGTACCTCTTTGTAATTGAATTTTATTTATGAAATATTGAATGGAAGGAAGGGATGGAAAGCTTCCAGGTTTAACTTTAAGTAGGGTCAAATGGAGATACATGGTTAGATTGAGAGGAAGAGAACAATCATATCTAAAATTTACTTAGTAGAAAGCATTATGCTAGTAAAGTCCAATTAAAAGATTGTGACATGTCATGGAAAGCTATAAGACAATGAAAAAGTAAGTAAAACAACAACATAAACTAAAAAACACAAATAATAATAGTGAAACTCTTGCTCTATGTTGGGGATTAAGTATTCTAAGACATCTCTTGTTTACTTCAGGAGAATTCTAAACCATGGTGAAACTCTTGCTTTGGGTCTGAATTGTTTGCTCCAAACTCTTCCTATCAAATACTTGGCCTTCTGATAATAGTGGGAAGGTTAATTGGTAGCCACTTTTAGATAAGTTTAAACAGAAGCTATCCTCTTGAAAGGAGGGACATTTATCTTATGGGGGCCATCTTACATTACTGAATTTGGTTTTATCTACAGTTCTCCTTTATTATATGTCATTCTATAAACTTCCAACATAGATTAGGAAAGAGATTGATTTGTTTGATTTGACTCATCGTAATTTCTTATTGGGTGGTAGTCAGGACAAGTCATTCAAAAATTTTGTCAGTTGGAACATGGTTTGCTTGAGCAAGCGAGAAGGAGGATTAAGAGTCATAGGC